AAAGAGAAGCCTCAAGAAAAGTGTAATTGCTGAGCACAGTTAATGTCATTTTGTAGTCTCCCATACAAAAAAGTGACACTGCAGAGGTGTGGCCACAGCCCAGAAGTCTTACCCACCTCCTCTGCTTTGGTGCTTTTAATGAGAAAATATTTCCATTACCTATTATGAAATAAGAGCATTTTCTATTTGAGGTCCTAGGTAGCTACATTAATAATTTAAAATTTCCAGACAAGATTTCAATACAGAGTGAAGGTGTTTTGGTTACAAATCAATGACCTCAATGAATCCACTCTAAGGCAATGCAGATTCTAAGTTGCATATACACATTTACTGCAGTTACAAGACAGATAGTTACCTAAACAGTTTTCACAGGTTTCCAAAGTTTAAAAACCTAATTACAGCTCTTCTAGTCACAAACTGAAATATCACTAAAGCTTTGAGAGAAAACAAAACCCTTCAGTTACAAATCACACCTGATGAGCGACATTACTTGCCACCCTGGAAATGGCTCTTAATGCCACTTTGTGAACCTGGGGACCATCTCGCTGAGAAAACAACTGCTGAAGTCAAAGGGGGCAATGGAAACCTCATGTATTGAGTACAGCTACCAATTAATTTACTTAGATCGATACTTTATTTGTAATCCTTTTCTTGACATTCATTTATGGTAATCAAAAATAAGGAAGAACACACCCACTGCTAGTAAAATCCCCAAACTTTTCCACTTTGCCATTCTGTTAAAAACAGGAATATGAACTGCCATTCACAATCCTGGCTCTAGTGGGATCCAGCTGGCACAGCTATCAGAGCTCAGGCTAGCAATCCAAAACTCCACTCCTGCCCATAAAACATCTTTTTTCCCCGCCTCAGCTCAGAGATGGATTTTAAATTAATCCACGTTTTGTTTGCATGATGAGTAAAAGAGAATCCATTGCAAGGCTCTTCCATCATACAGCCCTTCCCCAACTCCACTATCCAGGAGCTATGGCCACCTAACACTTTTAGTCACTGGCTATTGCCTCAGGAAAGGTGGCTACTCCTCCACTGGGCTGCTGCAAGTCTGCCAGACAGCACTTCTTTTTAAAATAGCTGGTCCTAAAAAGAGCAGCAGTACTACCACAGGACAAGGACAACACCCTCTGTGTGCCTCAAAGCACAGAACAGCATTGGTGAGTTAAGAAAACAGCAGCAGAGCAAACAGAGCTAAACTTCTGGTCACCAGAGCATTAGGATATGATGACCTTGTCTGACTTGAGTCTCTGCTTGCTCTATCCATCAAGGAAGTAGAAGTTCTCTGTCTCCTGAGATTTTACTAAGTAAGCCAAGTAAGCATCAGCTCCTTTCATCAGCACAGGTTATCCTATCACTAAGCAACCTCAGATAATCTGAGGAACAGAAAGTTCACTAGTGTTATCTCACAGTGCCTCAAGTTCTTTTTACTTCAGCCCAAATATGTTAATAGCTACATTGTTCACTTTTCCATAACACGAGAACACCCCACTTATTCAAGAACCTTAGCACTGGAAAGGGTTCATTCTGATTCCTGCCATTCCTGGGGAAAAGGGAATTTTGTTTCTTTCTAAAAACATGTTCAGCATTTTTTTAAAAATACTTCAAAGCTCATTCTGCCATTATAAAGAAGATCCAAGCAGCCTTGTAATGAGCCTCCTCAGTATAAGCAATATGAACATACCTATAGCAAGACAAAAGCCATGGAAGGAGAAGTTTCCTCAAGTCAGTTACCATCAGCCAGATCAGCATCTCCTCCTGAAGTTAGCACTAGATAAGTGTCCAGCATTTTTTTAAAAATACTTCAAAGCTCATTCTGCCATTATAAAGAAGATCCAAGCAGCCTTGTAATGAGCCTCCTCAGTATAAGCAATATGAACATACCTATAGCAAGACAAAAGCCATGGAAGGAGAAGTTTCCTCAAGTCAGTTACCATCAGCCAGATCAGCATCTCCTCCTGAAGTTAGCACTAGATAAGTGTCTCCTAAAGTTAGCACCAGATCAGTCTGTTTCCTAAAGTTAGCACCAGATCAGTCTGTTTCCTAAGGTTAGCACCAGATCAGAATTGTGCTCAGATTCTCCAGTACATTCCAGCAGAAAAAGCAACAAACAGTAGCAGGAGACTTCAGAGGCAAGGCCAGCCCTGTCTTCTCATAGCAGCAAGTGTTTGATCACTACATTCATCACATTTCTCCCTCTTACTCTCAAATGTCTGGGGAGAAAGATGGTGATGCACAGGGATGAACATAGGCAGATCAAAATCAAGTTTCTCCATCAACCACATCAAAAGCATTAGTTTATTATTAAGTGTAAAACAAATGCTGGGAAATAACAGCCTGGTATGTAAGGAAAGCAGCAGCAGCAGGATTCATCCTGATCTTAGAGGCTTCTAGTAAAGACAGGTGGCACCAGGAAACCAGTGAAGTCTGATCCTGATGAAAGACTATAGTGTTGACATACCCAGCTTTGGTGGGGGAAAAAGAAACAACCCACTGTACACAAAAGAGTTATTAAAGTTGCACTTTCATAATTAAAGGATTATCTAATGTGGTTCTGAGAGGGTCTGCCATGGGCTTAGAACTACTTTTCATTTACTGGTGTTAGAGTGGAATATAGGCTTGAGTTTGTTTAGGACAGGTTGCCTAGAGATGCTGTAGAGTTTCCCCCACTGGAGACACTCAAAACCCAACCAGACATAGTGCTGGTCAACCTGCCCTGGCTGACCCTGCTTGAGGACAACAGTTGTCCTAGATGACCTCCAGAGATCCCTTCCAACCTCAACCATTCTGTGACTGATCCTATGAAACAAAGTGAACTAGGATATGGGTAAGAATCAGAGACAAGGGGCTATGATAGACCAGACTGAAAATTACTAGCTGCCTCAAAAAAACACCCCAAAACCCCAGAACATTAGGATGTACAAAACAAACCCTCCTACTATAAGCACTCTGAGAAGATCTCTGCTGGAGTGCCACTTCCAGTTCTGAGCACCAGAATTCAGGATACAGTGGGTCAGCAACAGAAAGATCATCTGCAGCAGAGATCTTAACAATCTAGGAGGAGTTCAATCTAGAAACAAGAGGCCAGGAAATTATATTCAAGTAGTAGACCTGCAGAGATGTAGGAAACAAACTGCCCTTCTGCATCCTCTGTGCAAATATAGGTTACACATAAAACACATTTAAAAAACCGAAGAGCCCTAGATTTCAGCCAGAGGTCATTCAGCCTCCACTACAGGCTTTTAAGAACAGATAAAGCACCTCTGAGGAGGTGACAGTGGTCTAATGGAGCCATGGGAGAGAGGGAAGGGAGTACTACAGCTTCCAGATCCCTTGGAGCCCTTTTTCATGCTTATATGAAATGACAGAGCTTTGAGGAAGAAACATTTCAGTGAAAGATTCACCAGAGTCTGAAGCGACCACCTACAGCTATAGCTTCCTATGCCTTTAACTCACTAGCTCTTTAGTTTTCACAAGTAAACTACCATTTCACAAAATTCATTAGAT